CTGAATGTGCTCAAGAATACACAATATATAAAAGCAAAAATGAAGGTGTTGCAAGTAAAGATTCATCAGTTAATCTTCATCATCTACGACAATATGTGAATGGCATCTTCCTAGCAAATGGTTGCCCATGGTTAGCTTGTAATTACTTATTAATTCCGTGCTTCTATCCGGGTAACAATTGGTATCTATACCCCGAAGCTTTACGAGAATGGAAATTCCAAATATATGATCGTAGCCATAGTGTTCATACCACAACCGAAGTCATGGATCATGCAAATGCAACATTAAATTTGATCCACTTATTACTACTATCACAACTTTCCATCAGTCCAGTTATAAAGAAACATCGAAACAAACAACTGGAAGTTGAGGTCATACCCTACTTACCTTGTACAAATAAAGGGTAAATATTATTTACTTACTTCTCACCTCACTTTTATTTCATACATGATTTACTCTAATCAAAAAATTTCTCTTCTTCTTTGATAGGCCAAATTGTGGAGTTTTTTTGCTAAAGTATATAGAGTGCTTCATTTTTGGATATCCTATTGAATTAGTTTCTCCAGCCAAAATGACTCTATACAGGCGAAAGATGGTAGTAGACATTTCCAGCAATCAGTACTTTCTACGACATCTTAAGAAGAATGTTCCGACTTAAATTCAATTGGAAAAACTTCCAATTCATAATGTCATTCTTCAACAGTGGTACGATACTGATCCATCAATTGCTAATATCAATTAAGAATTCTGGAGCCTTACTTTTTCCTTTCTAATAGCTGGTATAGTAGCTACTCTTTCTGCCTTCTGCTATGCTGAGCTAGCCTTGGTATCTGTTTGCTTATACAGAATTATAGCTTTGAAGAAACTACAGGAGCTGTTGTCACTTCTCAAAACCGAGCTTTTAGTTTGCTACTAACTATCATTACTTGAATTTTTAATCAAGCTTTCGGATATTTTTTGGTAATTCCTTCAATTCCTTGCATTGCATGCAATGTTGCTTAGTTAATTGGTTGAGCATTAATATTGGAATACACTATCGGAGGCTCTGCAATTGATCGTGACAAATCTCCAAATTTGGTGCTGGACATTTCTTTTATATTTAACCATTTTAATAGGTCTGTTTGTGCGTGTTGTAGGATTTATCTTTTATTTTTAAGGATACCAATAAGCTAAAATTTGCTCTTCTCTGCCTTCCATAATCTCAGTTTTTGTCTTCCTTGCATCAATCCATATCTGTTTATGCATATCTTAACCTTTACAACAGTTTACTTGAGAAGTATTTTACCTTGGGGCACAATATCACTCCTAATAGTAATATTGACATTTCCTCTCAATGTTATCAAGCTTATCAGTTTTCTGGCTGCTTATTCTGGTCATGTTATGCCTTTTTGTGCTACTTAAGTCCGTAGTTGTTGCCATTATCTTGTAAATGCATAATAATGCCACAGAAGATTATTGTGGTTCGATTCTCTAATGGTTAGAATTTATTACTTCTTGACTACAGAGTTGCTTCTCTTACTTGAATTCCAAATGTATATCAAATAACTTAATTTGTTTTCCTACCTTAGTGTACTTACTAATAATGGATGTTGAACTCTTGCCTGAAACTTCTTGCACATTAGTGATTGAAAGGCTATACCGTAGGCAGTTTCTTTGGATTAAATGTTGTATGTTGCTTCTGAAGTCGCATGCTTTTGCTTTTGATCGATTATGACTCTTCCATTCTGATGGATGATGATAAAAAAAAAATTTCAACAAGGGAGCGTGTTCAGCGTCTCTTCAACAAGGTATGCACGTGCATCACTCATCTAAGTCTTATCTGACATTGTGCATTTTCATTGTTAATCACGTGTCTGCAAATCCATGTAACATACATAAATAGGCTAAAACATCGTAATAATTGTTCTTTTCTCAGAACATTAACTGAATGATTGCTGCTTTTTCTTGTCCAATCTCGTGGTTTAAAAAATGTCATTGTCATGATTGCACAATACTAGGATTACAAGGAGATTTACCTCCAAACTTTCGAATGGATATCCAGTACGTAACTGGAAAGTAAGTAACTCTTTGTTCATAGTAGTAACTCAAACTTCTTTTTTCTTTACATGGTATACTTGACTGTTATTCAATGCTTCTATTAAACATGCTTTACGTGTTGACGAATCGATCACTTGATATAAAATTTCCTTTCTTTCATGCATAAAGATAGACACTTCAACACCAGAAAGGGATCTTGAATCAACCAACTATTGGGCCTATAGGAGATTTTGGATTTCATCAACAAAGATCTTGATCCAGGATTTTGCCATCTATGATTTGAGTTTTCAGAGGGCTTCCTTTATAAAATTTTCGTGCAAAATAACACGTATAAAATCTTGTCGCCTCCTTGGTTTATTTGAGGATAACGACAATCCCTACTAACCACAAGTACAAAATTATTGGATTAAGTGGCAGGCGTGCAAAGAGCAATTGTATGGTTTCCATTGTTTGACATGAGTCTGAAGTTGTACCCTTTTATCAACCTTTTCAGGTTCTCATTGGAGCAGAAAAACAAGGATGATGCTGGTGAATTTCAAACCACTGAAGTAACTATCTATGATTACTCTGTTAATAGCCGTAACATTGACTTGCCATATTCTGCCGATCTTCCTTGTATCAATGTTGGGAAGCCTAAGCGTCCAACTTACTTCCCTATTGAGGTAAAACTATTGCATTTCTGGTTCAGTTTAATCCCAGGTGAATCCCCCCTTCGTTGTTGCTATTATTTTTTGAGATTTTTTTCCTTAACTGGAAATAAATCGCACTAATATCCAAAAGACACGAGTATGATTGGTTTGCTTTTGTCCTTGCAGCTATGTTTAGTGGAAAGAAGACCGTTCAAACAATTGTAAGTTCTCTCTTCGCAATCCCCCCTGGCTCTGGATGTTTCTTATCAAACCTTGTCCATAATAAAGGAGAAAAATGCGAAAATTGCTCACTCATGTAGACATTAATCTTCTATTATGTGATCTTTATCTGTTGATACTCACTTGCTCTCTCCTTTTTCATCTTCCCCTCTTGCTTTACAAATAGCTAATATTTGAGTAGTTTCTTCGATTTATATATATGCAGGACTCTTGGCGGAGTCGTCCCTGTTTCTATCGAGCAACGTTGGCGGTATGAAATGGGGCATGCAGGCTTAATCTTCAAGGGGTGTTGTCGGTTCATTCGAGCCAGTTTTCGAGGAATATGGATCAAATGGTAGAACAAAGTGGAAAAAGTTCTACTTTGGGTGATGGGTCAAGTGAAGTTAAAAGGAAGGAGAGGAAGACGCTCAACGGAAAGAGAGCAGTGGTGCGCAGGTTTCTCTATATATTATCCTAAATTCTTTTATAATTATTTCAAAAATAGGATCTTGTGCTTTCTGTTAAATTTTTCATTCTGGCAGGAAATTAAAGTGCTCAGCAATCTGAAGCATCCAAACATTGTGTAATATTATGGTAGTGAAATTGCAAGTCATTATCTTGAAGCTCAGATTTCTGCTTTAGGTCTGTATACACACACTAACAAGTCTCAATTTATGTGCATGCAGGTTGGCGACCAGTTTTACATATTCCTGGAATATGTTCATCCTGGTTCAATCACTAAATTCATCCGTAACCATTGTGGAGCTTGGGCTGTACTATAATTGAAATGATGAATGAAAAACCCCCTTGGAGTGAACACGAAAGGGTGAGCTCTAGATGATGATCAATATGATAGTTTGACTTCACAATATGCACTTAAACATTTTTCCTATCGAATGTTTTTTTTCCTTTTGAGTGATACTGTAATCTGAGTGCAATAGTAGGTAATTCATTTTTAGCTTTTGCAGATCTTATCATAGAACAAGGAATCTGAATTTATTTAAACGCTCGAGTGAATCATCTTTGCTTCATTAATGTTGATACTGCCTTAGATGTTGAATCTGGTAACTTTAACTCTCACTCTATTTCATGTTTTGTACACGTATCTTAATGTTCTATCTCTTAATGAAACTGAAAAATGTGAATGAAGTATAAATTGTTGTTCTTGTTTGGATGTTATTCTTTTCCCCAACTTCTGTAGTTTGTTTTTGAAGCAGAACTGTCTGATAATTTTTGGCCGATCCGGTTCTGTTGATATAGTTCTTAAACTCATTATGTGGTTTTCTACCTTTCAGTAAGATGAGGTTGTTGTAACAGGAAGTTTTCCTGTTCACACTTCAATAAATGGTTGGCGCAGTCCACTGTACTGATGAAATTACTAAACATCTGCATCAACAATACCAAGGATATGGAAAGCCCATGCTTTATCTCCTGCACGGACTCAACATTGATAGTAACAAGTGAGTTTTTTACTTTGCTGTTTAGACGTTTTTTTATTTTGGATGTAGGGCATTTTTTAGGGGATTGGGTTCTTAATTTTGGTATTGATATAATAAAGAGACTGCAAAATGAACATAGTTTCAGCACTGAAAACTATGTGTAATGGTATTTTTTGAAAAAGATTTCCTGCAGTTTTTAGTTAAATAATTGGTGGGCTGAGTGAAAAGTTATTTTCCGTGCTGTTTGGAGTTTAATAAACATAGGTTGGGGGATGCTGGGATTTCTAATTTGAATTTGACTATGGTTACTGAGGTCTAATTATTAATCGCTTCAAATAGACATGGCTTCCTTGTTACCATGGGCGGTGTGGTTCATTAACTTTTCTAATAATAACTGCACAATGCCCAAATTGGACGGTACCATTTGTCTGACAGTTTCTTTTTGTTTGGCTTTCCCTTAATGTGGGTGCCATCGTTTTTTAGACTATTCCATGATTAAATGAAGAGGTTCCCCTGCCCACAAGAAACCACTTCTGAAATCAGGGGAATAAATGGAAAGAGGCAAAAATTTTGATAGTTTCTTGTATTCTTCTGTTCACATGTGAGTCATTTCCGTAGCACAAAAGTTTCTAAGTTTCTAACTTGTTGGCACTTTAATGAGCTATACTTCAGGATACCTCAACCTTGTTCCCTGTACCATATAGTTCTTCTAGGTTTACCATATGATATGAATGCACACAACTTATGCTGCAGACATTGGAGCGCATATTAACAAGAACATATTATTTTGAATTATGCTACATGTACAAAGTTGGATTACATAGCTAGGTTATTGAAAATATGGAGCGCACAGACATTCCAATGCTTAGTTAGTTGTTTACTATTAGGAAATGAAATTTAACAAGTTTTAATAGAATTCTGAATTATTTTTTCCATCGTGATAACATTGAATTTATAAAATGGGTGTAAAGTTTGTAGCTTGTTTCAGTAGGAGAATTACAAATTCTAATAATAAGATATATGATGAATGAAATTGATTCACCTGAAAATTTTGTTTTGGTATTTATCTAATTAGTATGTGTCGATGTATTATCAATTTAGTCCAGATACACCAAAGGAATACCTCTCCTCACTTTATTTGTTCATCCTTCACTGACTAAAATGGTGGATGCTGCTGTGGAAGATGCCACTGAATTACTTTGTATCAGATGGATCAAATTTTACACCAGCAAGAAGCCAAGGCCATTCATCAACAACCTGAATAGGAGAAAATTATGAGTTGAATTGAATAAGAGGAAATTATAAGTTCAGTTGTGGTCTTCCTATCATGATAATCCAGTAGCTTACAATTCTTGATATGGTTATTTTCACCATCAATCTCCATTCTCTACTAATTTACTAATTTATTTATCCACGTATATCTTTCATCTTTTGCCTATCATTGATAATATCTCCCTTGATTGCGCTTATTAATGTGCTCTATTGTTTTACAATGTTTCTGCCTATTAATCATTATTTGTGTATAACCTCCTAAATTCTCTCTCTTCAGGTTCTGCACTCGCTTATGTGGTAACTTTTAGAAACACTTCTCCCTGTACATTTAGAAATACTAAAACTTACTTGATTTGATAATTGTTTGTATATCTGTTATTTAATGCTCTCTTCATACACTATAGGAATGCATGGGACATAACTACTGAAATCTCCATTTCCCAGCTTCAAACTTTTGTTGAGGATCTTAATAAAAAGTTCCAGGTCTGCCTCATTAATTTATGTTTCACATCATTCTTTCTGTATTGTTTAACAAATTGGAAATTGTGACAACAAAAACAACAGCATAGATAATTCTCCAAGTGTCGACAAGTTTTAACTTTTATTTTATTTATCTTATTAGTAACTACTTCCGCTCAAGTGTCACTAAACAATTTTCTTCCTCAACCAAGTCCATTCTTTACCAAGCAATTGACAGCTTTTAAGGTTTGGCTTCATCATCAATCACAGTATAAAAAACCACCAAAGTGGTTGCCAACAGTTCTTCAAATTCAGCTTCTTTTCTATATTAATTTATTTCAATAGTTTTTCTTACTATTTGAAGTATTTTCGTCAGCGATTTTTTGAACTCTTGAATTAAAGTGATTTTTTGAACACCTAAATTAAAGTAATATTGATAGTTCTATGATGATTGTAAATGCAGTTAGAAAATCTATTAACAATGATTGCTCATCTTTAGACAAATCATACAAGTGATACTGATCCATCAATCACCAATATCAGGTAAAGTTGTCCATTTTATATTCCATCAATTACATCAATGACACAATGGTAATTCCATGATCATTTCATTTCGTCTACCTTTTTGTCATATTTTCTTGCTTCAATAGATCACTTCCACCAACTATTTGGCACTTGCAAAATCTCACATGTTAGCAAAATCCAAACCATATATTATCAAGGATAGAATTATGCCTTTTATCTCTACTTTTATCCAATTAAATGAGAGCAATCCTTCAAAGTAAAGAAACCTTTAATGTGGTTGCATTTTGCCTTTAATTGCATTAATTTCAAGTTCTACACCATTTTTCTTCCTTTTGTAAGGCAAAATCATACTACCATTTATATGCTCTACAACAATTCAAGTATGAAAGTTCTCATTATTAATTTTTATTTATTTACCAAATACTTGTCAAATTCAGAAATAAAGATACAAATCATGTTGAATAAGCAAAGGCTTTAGACAAGCATTATATACCGAGCTTGAACAATTGTATGTTTGAAATTTTCAACAAATGCTTGATATTGTAAGAAATTTACCTTCCATAATGCCTATGTGTAAGCTCATCTTCTAAAATATTTATATTCCATTTTTATATTTATTATTATTTTGTTAGATTCTCTTCCTGATTACATTGTTAGATGCAATGATCTAATAGAAGCTTTAAAATCCCTATAAATGATAAGTTTATCAGATCTGTGCAAAAACGCTACGCCTCTTGCTGCTCCAATAGCTATTTTGAGACGAATTTCCCATGTTCTTCAAATTTCTATACTATTTCTATTACTACTGAGTTCCTATGTTGTAATTTTCATTTTGTATGCTTTTTTTTTTCCTTCAATTAAATATTAGGAATCTCAATGATACAGAGAAAGCTTCTATTATATGGCATTCTAAGTCTTTTAATAATCAAGGCTCTTGCCATGAAGGCTGATGTATAGTTTTTCATTTTAATTTTATTATTGTTAGTGTCTTCCCTTGCAGGCTTGATAAGACCAAGTTCTATGTTGTTGGGGCAGGGATTTTTACTGGTCTTATAGTTGCACTTTATCCAATTTCGGTTGTGAAGCCCAGGAAGCAGGTTGGAGCCCAAATAGAAACAGAAATCGCCGTCTTCAGGTTTATTAATCTTTAGCTTTGTTTATATTTCATATCCACGTGTTTTTTTTTTTTTTTTTTTTTTTTTTTTTTTTTTTTT